ACAGTTGATTGACAGTTGAGAGGCGGGCCGAAAGAGCAAAGCTCAACCCCCGTAAAAACACAACTAGTAAACACAACGGGAAAAACCCCGAGCCTTGGCACGACCCTTCTGGGAAGGCCCCCCACGAGCCCCCCGGAGAACTGACAAGTCAGACATAGGATGGCAACTAGCCGAAGCCGCCTGTAGATACAGCACCACAGCAGATTCTGCAAATAGCAGAGGACAAAAAGGTGAAAACAACCAAAGAGCCAGGGGCCAAAGCAGATTCTAAAGAAGCAGCAAGCCCTGCCTGCAGACATGCGAGTCAAGAAGCAAAAAAACTGCAAAACCATATTCCAAAGAGCGGCACGAACAGCCTCAACAATGCACATGACGCACACACCGCCAAGGGCAGCGCAGCAGACCCAGAGGAGGTCCCAAGCACCTCCACATCTAACTCGAGCCAATCCAAGGACAGCTCGAGGAGGGAGAAGAAACACAGGGCCGAAGCCAGCAGGCCACGTGTACACAAATCCTCCGCAACCAAAGCAGCCGAAAGGGAAGAAACTTGCACATGAAGCTGCATCACATCAACATCTCGCAGAAGGGCAGGGGCGAACAAATAAGCATTGAAATGCTTGAAGTTGCCTCCCCCCCCCCCCCCCCAGGTAAACCTACATTATCATTTGAACCTCCCTGCACTCGAGCGTGCGGGACCAACAGAATGTGTGCCAAGCCTCCAAAGAGAAGCGCGAGCAATCTGCCAACCAGGACAACTCCGGAACTTCATAACAAACCCAGTATGGACACGAAGATCCATACATGAAGGAACACGGATCCATCACAAAAGCATAATCTGGCTCGCGGAGAAGGTAAGCCGCAGGGCTTCCCGCATCACTTGTGACGGGACGGGGGAAGCCAAAAACCTCCGGAAGGACAGGACCGAAAAACCCACCGGATCACGAACTGAATCCGGGGAGGGGTAGACACCAAATCCAACTCGTACAAGGAGGGAGCGAATGAGAACTCCCTCTCCTTGTAACACCAAGCCCTGCTCTGAGGGTATAAAAACCCAGGCGGGGTCCAACGGGGCCCAAGGCCTCCCAAATCAACCCCTCCCCTGCCCCGGAAGTCTCTCTCTAAGGACCCAGGGCCGAGCCAACCCCCTGCCTCTAAAGAAAAGGCGGGAGCCGCCAAAAAAGCAGGAACGAAGGGGACCCACTGGTCAGACCCAGAAGCTCCGGCTGAAGGACCAGGCTCAAATGCCTCCACCCCAACCCCAGAAGGGGACTCCCCTGAGACCGCCCAAGTCTCAACACCAACTAGACCCTGCCCCGACTTCGAAACCCTCAAGATGCTTCGGAGCCAGAAGCAAAGAGGGAGGAACCGGATGCACAACAGAAGGGGAAGGATTAGGAGGGGTGGACAGAACCAGAGCCAAAGCGACTCCCACCCTCAAGTCCGGGTCCCTATAACCAAAACGAGGCAGTCTCGGGGCATCCGGGGCCGCAACCAACCAAGTGCATTGCAGCAACCTGAACCGAGCATGCAACGCAGCAGCTGCTTGCATCCTCATATCATGTTCAGTAGCTTGGGTGAACCGGAGCACGTACAAACAACAAACATCGCACGACTCCGGGTCAAAAGAATCACCAACCCAGCAGGCAGCATGGCAGAGGCACAATCTGTGAGTGTCCCCCCTGAGACAAATAAATAAATAAATAAATAAATATATAAATAAATAAATAAATGTTTATTTAGGTAAGGTACATACATACAAGAAATTTTTACAAAGATTGGTTGACTTATAGGTAGAGCTAGTACATACAATGCCTAAAGCCACTATTACGCAAAGCGTTTCGGGCATGAAAAACTTAAATGACAAGCTTAATACTAATTGAGCATAAAGAGTAGAATGAAAACAAGAAATGAAAACATAGCTGAAAAAGCAGCACAAATACAATTATGTCGACAAACAAAAAAACAGGCATTGGTTGACAATAGAAGGGTAAGGTAGGTTACAGGGAATTTATTAGGTATAGCTTCGTTTTTATCTTAAACTGGTTGAGAGAGGTACAGTCTTTAACATGGTTGGGAAGGTCATTCCACATTCTGGGCCCCTTGATTTGTAGAGCATTTCTAGTTTGATTAAGTCGTACTCTAGGAATATCAAAACTGTATTTATTTCTGGTGTAATGCTCATGGGTTCTGTTACAACCTTCTATGAAGCTTTTGAGGTCAGGATTGGCATTACAGTTTAGCGTTTTATATATGTATAATACACATGAGAGAATGTGCAGTGACTTAATGTCTAACATATTCAGAGATTTGAGTAGGGGTACCGAGTGATGTCTGGGGCCAGAGCATCAGAGGGACAGAGCATCCTTTGTGTGAGAGTCCCCTCTCACACAAAGCAGGAGGGGACTCAAGAGTCACATCCATTGGACCACGGAGCCTCTGCAGGGTTTCCCAGGGCCCTTAGCCTTGTTAACACGCTAAGAGAAGCCCAGGCAGGGTACTGCGAACCGGCCCCCCAAGTCTACCAAGTGAACTTCTAAAAGCTGAACCCCTGGAACGTGTCCACTCACGGGGGGCCTAGAGGGGAATACCACCAATACACAGAAGGGAAGAAAATACACCGATCCCAATAAGAGAGAGGGGGAAGGACAAAGGCAGACCCCCACCCCTCCACCAGGCAGGAACAACAAACACAAGAAAAACCCCGCAAGAAGATAACGTACCCAGGCGGAACAGATCCGGCTCTATAATAGGTAATAACTAGCTGTGCAGTATCCTGTGCCCCTACCAGTGACAAAAACTACCTCCTACCCAGAGACAAACAAGGGCAACAAAACCCCAGCTGACCCCAACGGCAGCCAAGTACCGAGCAGTAAAAGACACAGAGGAGGTAGATCCCAAGGTGACTTGTGGAAGGAGGCCCCAAGCCCCAAAGGCAGTACTTTCTGGGCACCTAGGGAAGGGAACCCTAGATGCATGCAGCCCAAGTACAATAGAATATTTCTCCTTGCTCATACACCACCTGTAGAGACAGCCCACACCACAAGGCACAGAATTGAGACAAAAGCAGGAGCCAGAGGCACACAACTATTCCAGAATCGCATCAGCAAAGAACTGATGGTTGGAGCGCCGGTGCAGGGGGCTGGGACTCCCCCTTCCCCCTCCCGCGGAGGGGGAGGGGGTTGCAGACAGCGGTGCGGCAACGTGATGACTTCATGCTAGTTTGCTAATTTTCGCTTGGGGAGTTCTGTCCTCTCGTTCGGCTTTTGGTAGCAATAGTTTCACCAGAATAGGGGTTTGTTTTGGGATGTGTACCTTTCTGGGTGTCAGACCCGGTCGATGGCAAACGTAGAATGCTCCCAACCACACGGGGGTTTCTATAGGCAATTGCTCCTCACTCCTCTTTGAGGGGGCTAGGTTAAGGCTCGTTGTCACCAGTAGGCAAGAATTCCATGCACATTGATTGATGCCAGAAAGTTATACATATCTATTCAGCCTGGATAGCTCTGGCGAGCCGACGGAGCTCCTCCCAGAAATGAACTGTTGCACAAAAAAAAATATTGAAATAGCCACTATTAGATTTCGACCACCACAGGATGCAAAATGTTAAATGACTCCAGAGCCATAAGGGCACTGCAAGTGTCAACTATAATGACAAAGGAACATTGATGTCAGAAAAATAGTTGACGAAGAACTCACAAAACTGCAAAAATTATGCAGTGAAGATGCTAGTCTCCTGGGTTAGGCGGCACATATTGGTTTGGTCAGAAAAGACAACAGAGTAGCCAACACCATCAACAGACTTAGACCCATTTGTGAATAGTGCAACAGAGTGTGAGTTCGAAGAAAAGAGTTCGAGTGGTATCCTCACATTCCAGTGGTATCCTCGCCTTCAAATAGTCCCCTTACCTTCCAGTGGTCCCCTCTCACCATCCAGTGGTCCCTCTTACCTTCCAGTGGACCCCCTTACATTTCAGTGGTCCCTGAACTTCCAATGGTCTCCTCACTTTCCAGTGGTCCCCTCACCTTCCAGTGGCTCCTCACCTTCCAGTGGCTCCCTCACCCTCCAGTGGTCCTCCCCTCACCTTCCACTGGTCTCCCTCTCACCTTCCAATGGTCCCCCCCTGTCACCATCCAGTGGTCCTCCCTCACCATCCAGTTGTCCCCCTTACCTTCCAGTGGACTCTTTGCCTTCCAGTGGTCCCTGACATTCCAATGGTCTCCCTGACCTTCCACTGGTCAGCTCACCTTCCAGTGGCCCCCTGACCTTCCAATTATTTCCCCTCACCTTCCACTGGTTAGCTCACCATCCAGTGTTTCCTTCACCTTCCAGTGATCCCCTCACATTCCTGTGGTCCCGCATCTTCCTGTGGTCCCTAAACTTTCAGCAGCTATTGACCTTCCAGTATTCCCCTCACCTTCCAGTATTCCCCTCACCTTCCAGTATTCCCCTCACCTTCCAGTATTCCCCTCACCTTCCAGTGTTCCCCTCACCTTCCAGTGTTCCCCTCACCTTCCAGTGTTCCCCTCACCTTCCAGTGTTCCCCTCACCTTCCAGTGTTCCCCTCACCTTCCAGTGTTCCCCTCACCTTCCAGTGTTCCCCTCACCTTCCAGTGTTCCCCTCACCTTCCAGTGTTCCCCTCACCTTCCAGTGTTCCCCTCACCTTCCAGTGTTCCCCTCACCTTCCAGTGTTCCCCTCACCTTCCAGTGTTCCCCTTAACCTCGAAGTGGTCTCTCACCTTCAGAGATTACCCTCACCTTCCAGTATTCCCCTCACCTTCCAGTGTTCCCCTCACCTTCCAGTGTTCCCCTTAACCTCGAAGTGGTCTCTCACCTTCAGAGATTACCCTCACCTTCCAGTATTCCCCTCACCTTCCAGTGTTCCCCTTAACCTCGAAGTGGTCTCTCACCTTCAGAGATTACCCTCACCTTCCAGTGTTCCCTGAGCTTCTAGTGGTTCCTCACCTTCCAGTGGTCCTTCACCTTCCAGTGGTCCCTTACCTTCTTATTTCCTGGATCATCTCAAAGAACTGTGCCTTACTCTTCCTCCTCCGCCTCTGTTCGTTCTCTTTCTGTGAAATAAATTATCCATAACATAACAAAACAAAAATATGAACATCTATGATATTGTAATATTGAAAGTTAATTCGAGATCTTTATATTTACAATACTGCATATTAAACATAAAAGATACTAAAGCATCCAGCAACCCTGAACTCCTCGGGCACAAGCTCTATGGGCTGAGGATTCCAGAGACGCGGGTTTGATTCCTTTGTATGGCTTTAATATTTTTTCAGATATATCACATACTTGTGATTTAATTGATATAAAACATACGCTTGCATGTTTACTCTTTAAAGATATACTAATGCAATTTTAGATGTATTATACTGTCTTAGGTGTTATAAAAATAATAATTAACCATTCTAATTAACACCATTAAAACAACTTAAGGATTCTAAAAACCATTATATTATGCAAATTTAATCTATTTTGATTTATATGCAAATTTAAGTGAGGTGTGTGGAGCTTCAAACTGATGGAGCATCATGAAAGTAGTTCATTATCTACAGACTGTCAAAATGATGTTATAACAGCAGCTGAAAGCTTAGTCATCAGGATGAAATATATAATGACACCAAAAAGTCAGTACGACAGTTATAATTATGCCAGATAGTCGGGATGACGGATACAATGACGCGAGACAATTGGGATGAGATATATATAGAGAGGCCAGACGGTCGGGATGCACAACCAAAGATTACATTCACTCCAAAAAACCAGCGTTGAGTGTAATGAAACGCCATTTTCTGGGTGAGCCCTAGAGGCTCCCTGGAGTTATCATGCTGATATGTGTTATATTAGTCTAGGGCATCAGTCAATTATAGTTTAACCTACCAGGAATCTTGAGCCAGAACCTGGCCCCCTCAGAGAGGTAAAGGGAGCAATGGCCTATAGAAGCCCCCATGTGGTTGGGGGCATTCCATGTTTGCCATCGACTGGGGATGGTACCTAGAAAGGTAGGCATAACAAAACAAACCCCCCCCACCCCCTGGTAAGAAATTGCAACCGAAACCAAACAGGGAGGCAGAACTCACCCTACATCTAAAGGAAACAAGCAAACGTCACACATCACTGCCGCATTGCCTGTTTGCGCAGCTCCCCCCACTCGGAGCCCCGGACCCTTTGCACTGGCTACCCAAGCCATCCAGTTCAGAGGCTGAGCATCAACAAAAAACAGAACCGCCGGCCAGAGGGAGGGTTGTCAGGGAGCCTCCGGGGCTCACCCAGAAAATGGAGTTTCACTACAGTCAGCACTGGTTTTCTGTGGGGAGCCCCTACGGCTCCCTGGAGCTACATCACCAAAGATAAGGAATTAGGGACGTACCCAGGAGGTGGATGCCACTCGCTCCTCGGCACAACGAGGAGTCGATTTTCGAAAATCCCACAAAGTCGACACAACGGGCTGAAACCTGTGACCCAAAGCCATACATGGACGACTAAGACCAGGAACGTTGATGAGATAATGCGCAACCAGGACCCTGTTCGACCCCCAAAATCCCCGTGCCCGAATGTCAACCCAGGACATACTGCTGAAGACAGCAGTCAAAGCAGCAAACTTACGAATGTCGTGGGCACAAGGATAGACCACAGGCTGACTAGACTTAATGACCCTGCAGACGACCTGGAGACCCACGCCCTGGAACAGGGAATGAGGGAAACCAGATCAACCCAAAACGCATCCCCAGCCACAGAAGCCGAGGGGAGCAAGTAACGGCAAAGAGACGCAACTGGCCAAAACACATGATGCACCCCCAGCCTTACCAACCAAGCATAAATGACCTAAGGACCCCTCCGGAAAGCAGCTGTCTCGTTCTTCGCCAGGAAAGAAGGAGGCTGCAACTGAACAAACCGACCAACAGAACCGAAAGAGCAGAAAACCCGTGCCAGAGGAGAGCATGAAGCTCACAAACCCAACCCCCAGAGGCCAATGCCAACAAAGAGAGATCCTTGGAAAAACAATCTTGACCAAAGGGGCCACCACAAACCTAGGTGAAGAGAAAAAAGAACACCCTGTCCAAGGACCAGGACAGCTCGGGTGGTGCATGAGCAGGCCGAAGGTGAAATGTAACAAGAGAGCAGTACATAGTAGAGCAGCATGGAAAAAGCCACAGGCATAGTGCCAGACAAGTGGTGCCACACAATGGAAAAGTTACACCTTTGTAGAAGTTAACCAGAGGGACAGGTCAACGGTCACTGAGTCATGAGGTGGTCAGAGTTGATGCCGTCATGATAATCTACAGGGATTAAACCCTTCACATCAAATGCAACCCTCATGTTCAGCTGGGGAGCAGGAGATCATGGAAAGAACAGTAGAGTGGGAGAAACCCATGAGGACGGTGTTGGTGGACAATGGGAGAGAACTTCATCTTGAGGAAAATTGTATAACACCATTCAAATAAGTACGGCTCTCTTGAACTAAAGCACCTTATCACTCACATTTATTCTTTTCCTCTGGACTATAGTTAGGAAAGTGTCTATTTAATTGTTTCAAATAGTCATATATTGTAAAGTGTCATTCCCATGTGTATTAATGGTTCCTTGTGTTAGTGATATTGGGTCTTCCATCCCCTTTGCCCTAGTGACCTAGTGTCCTTAATTATCCAGTACTCCTCCCCCATCCGTCCTTTGATGAGGTGTTAGTATTGAGTGTGCCCCACCTTATTCTTGTGTACTTTATAGTTCCCAAAGTGGTCAGGATTATTCGAGTGACAGGCCAGGATCCTTGTATCATTCAGTTGTCCCTTTCACCTGTCCTGGTAGGATTATACAATCTACAAGTCCTACGAATCTCACTCCAGTCACACATCACTGTGTGATGTGTGACTGGAGTGAGATTCCACACTCTCACTCTCCCACACTCTTTCTCCCTCACTCCTTTTCACGTTCTATTCCCTTTCGTTGCCTACGTAGTTCTCAGTCCATATTGATTAATTGTTTAGTCCTCGTAAGACGGCCCGAGTGTTAACATCTTACAAGATCGGTAGAGCCTCCGTTAATACAATAGAAGTAATGGAGGCAGTGCGGAAGATTGTCACCCCTGAAACAGGGGCAATGAACAACCTTTGTCCTCGCACAAAGCGAGAGAGGACTTGGAAGACATGCTCATGGTCACCCTGAGCCCTATGGGGATTTTTAGGGCCCGCAGGGGGAAGGAATCCCTACGGGTAACCCAGGCACTGAGTTAGCTAAGCCGGTTGAACCCTGCCTAATACTAGGCAAATTGGCCACCAGTAGAAGTCGTGGAACCTCAAGGGCACCAGAGGAGGACTAACAAACAAAACCTAGGCGGGCCTAATGTGTAGTTAGGCAGACCTCCAAAAGACTCCCCACTACCTTGTGCTTCAAACTTACACAGTTCCTGTTCTACCCACTTCCCCAATATTAGTACTTAGGACTAATTAAGTACTTCATCTCTACCAGTGTAATCACCTCTGTCATTTTATATTGTTAATATAAAACCTATCTACAATGTACTTTTTCACCTTACCTGATACTATGTTAGATTAGGGACATGCCCGAAACGCTGTGTGTGTTAGTGGCTTTGCAAGTACAGTATATAAAAGTATCACTAATGTAATCTCACCAACCCATTGAACCTTCTTGTAAATAAAATATTATTATTATTATTATTATTATTATTATTATTATTAAGAAAGGCTAGAAATAAAAGCAAAACCCCCAAAAATCCCACAAACAAACAAACTGGCAGCCTAAGAGAATCGTCAGGTGCTGCGTGTGTGCAGGCTGCGCCAGCCACAATGTGCCCTGCCCAGCAACAAATCACTCCCTACCTAGGGCAAAACGAAAAAACCAATCCCAAGAGCGAAGTCAATGCCAAGCGTCGGAGACCTCGACAGGAATCAGTCCCGAATCCCCCAAGGGAAGACCACCCTGAAATGCAAGGTTAGTACTCACAGGATGCCTAGGTAAGCTGGCCCTAGGTGCATGCAGCCCTGTGTGGCCAGCCACGCAGGGCAAAATCTGGAACAGGAAAGCGAGGCCAGAGGTGGAGTCTGACCACCAAGAACATTAGTCAAGAACTGGGGTGGTGAATCACCTGCTTGCCTGAGCGTGCTTCCCCCTTCCCCTTTCAGGGGGTGGGGGTACTAATGAGCAACTGCACTAGTTGGATGACAATTTACTTGTTTTATTTTGGGGGAGATTCTTTGCTCTGTCTGGACGTAAGTTGAAATTTTCACCAGTTGGGGGTTTGTATTGTTTCACTTATATTTCTGGGTGCCCTCCCCAGTTAATGGCAGACATGACATACTCTAAATGTAGAGTGCTCATATGGGTTGCAACCCATCCTCCGAACTGACAGTACATTTTAATACTAAGTGTAATAAGTACATTTCCTGACTATCATACATAGTACATAATTGCACTTATGGGGCTGTTACATTTACCTCTCCATTTAATTCTCCTCATTTTCTGTTAAGACATTCAGAATTTTAGGATGAAGTTTTAAAGTTCAGTTTGCTATACTCAAGTTTTAAATATGAGGAATTTATTTTTCAGTTTTATTAAACAATAGAGATTTTATACAAAATTTGAAAATATCCTGAGTTACTTTACAATTTATTGAAATATTTTAGTTTTGTTTTATTTGCTTTATAAAACTGTAATATCAATATAGCTATAGGTGAAGAAGTAATTGTAATTAAGAAGCAATAAACTGCTTATCTTCAAAAACTAAGACGGGTAGGTTAGGTCGTGGTTTTCTATTCAGCTTTTCAGGTAAACTCAAATATTCAAAATATATTTGACAGTACGATTTAATATTCACAATGTATTTGACAGTACGATTTAATACTAAGTGTAAATAAGAACAATTCCTGACTTCCATACATAGTACATAATTGTACTTATGGGGCTGTTACATTTACCTCCCCATTTTTGGAGGAAGGGCTGCATATGACCATTGCTCCCTGCGCCTCTCTGAGGGGACCAGGTTCTGACTTGTGGTCTCCGGTAGACATAAGAACTCTAGTGACTGATGACCTCAAAC